TCTTCATGATTTTCATAGAGTTTGGCGAGTAAGATTTTCTATCTTGTATAAAAGATATGATTTCAGGGATTTTTTTTGACGAAGTGCAAAAGTTCTCTTCGTAAAAAAATAACAGTTATATAATGAAATTTGGTCATTTTTTCAATAAAAATAATGTTTATGTTAGAATGTTAGATCTAACATGTTTTCTAACATGTTTTCTAACATGGTCTAAAACACACAAAACTCATGAAATTTCATACGGAATTCAATAAAAATAATGTTTATGTTAGAATGTTAGATCTAACATGTTTTCTAACATGTTTTCTAACATAACTATTTACAAGCGTTTTACATGGTATATGTTGCGATGGTTCATGACTCTAAACAATTTCGTAGCTTCTATTTCTTCTGTCAGTATGTCAAAAGTTTTAACGATACCGAAAGTTTCTTTATACTTCTTCTTGACGTCAGATAGAAGGAAATCGTCAGCAGTTGGATAGTTTTTGTTCAGAAATTCTAACATGTTCATTTTATCTTCTGCTGGTTTTTCTGCTTCTTTCTTTAAATCTGCATAGTCGTTTCGCATACGTTCTATCTCTTTGACGGAGTAGTTATATTTCCTCATTGCTGCTTTACATTTTGAACATTGCGGGTTCATTTTTGCGTTATATTCTGAAACCTTACCTGCAAGTATGACTAAGGCGTCAATGGTTTTCTTCATCTCGAACATAGCGGGTCTTATTTGTTCGTTCCATACCTTACCCCTACTATCTTTATCTCTTATTTCCCAAACACATTTTGCAACTAACGAAACAAAGTTGTCGTAGGTCTTAAACTCCCCAGATTTATATATGTCAGAGATGTTCTTATATACCATGTCGCAATCTTTGTCCATAACCTTATGGTTGCAATGAAATCCAAGAAACTCATAATTTACCTTTCGTATGAACTTCTTTATTTCTACTGAGTCAGTCAGTCCGACTTCTATTTCATCGAATTCTGGAATAGTAAGCTTTTGTTGTTGGATTTCAGGAAGTTTAGGTAGATGGTCGATAATATCCTGCATTTCATAAAGATACTGTTCATTTGTTTCATCTTTCGCACTACAGTCTAAATTACTTGTTAAAAGTTCTTGCTTTATCTTCTGGATTTTTGTTTCGAAAGTATATGAAGAAGGAATGAAGCTTTTCATCTCTACTAACATTGAAGTTGGGTTCATGACTAACGAGTTTGGTGCTGTTGTTGCTAACATGTTCTTACAATAAAAATAAAAAATATTTTTTTAAAAAAACTAACATAAATTATATTTTTGGTGTAAATTTCATGAAAATTCAAGAGTTTTAGACCATGTTAGAAAACGTGTTAGAAAACATGTTAGATCTAACATTCTAACATAAATTATATTTTTGGGTCTTTTACGCTCATTACGAAGAAGTCTTGACAAAACATTTACGAAGAAGTTTCGACAAATTCAAGAGTTTTAGACCATGTTAGAAAACATGTTAGAAAACATGTTAGATCTAACATTCTAACATAAACATTATTTTTGTCGAAAAAAATGGTTCATTTACTCACAATATTTTTGTACAAAACGACCCCAAACTTTTAACCTCTTTTCTGCAGCTTCTAATGTTATCTTAGCGAGTTCATATTCTCTAAATTCTCTCTTTAAATCTTCTTGTTCCCATTGGTCTAGTTCGTATGGAGAATCTCTATAACCAGAACATATCTCACGTTCATGTTCTATTTGTTTTTCATGCATTTTTCTAACTTCTTCTTCAAACAAAGGTTTTGCATTCTCTACTGTATCTTCAAGTTCTTCTTCATCTAACTTCTCATGAACTTTCTTGTCTATGGAGTCCAGAATTTTTCCAACTGCTATGCAATATTTTGGAGAAGCCCACATTGCTATATAGTTTACGAGTCTTGGGTCTACATACGTTCCTCTAACCTGTTTGATTTCATCGGGAATTCCTGCATTAACATTGTATAAAAAGCACCTGCCGGAATTCCGGCGGGTGGTATATTCTTCACAAAATGCCTTAAAATACTCTTCCCAGGACTTATTTTCCAACAACTTTCTAAAGTCCTTCCTAAACTGCTGACACATATTTGTTGCATTTATATAACCATCCTTGTCTCTACGTAAGACTTCAATACCGTTGTAAGTGCCTTTTGTGAATGTTTCGCCATTAGATTTGTTCGTGAACGTTTTTGCTTCGACTGACATTTCTGTTCTTACAATAAAAATAAAAAATATTTTTTGGTGGGACGTCGGACATTCGTTTGTGGCTTAACCGTCGGACATCCGTTTGTGGCTCGACCTCAAAACAAGCATTTTGTGAAGAATATACCAACCGCCGGAATTCCGCGGGTTGCTTTTTTTATACAAAATTCAAGAGTTTTGTGTGTTTTCTACGATGTTGTCAAAATGTCATGTTGTCACACTTTTTCAGAGAAGTTAAAATGACCGAGGCACATAGGCACATAGGCACACCTAAAAACCATCTAACCAAAACTCATTTTTCAGTACTTTTTCAGCACTTCTCCGTAGTTATATATGAAAGACAATTCGAGATAAAAGTCGTAGTACAATGGAACAATATGTTGCACACCATTTGTTGTGAACCAAACTTGAAAGTCAGAGAAACTGTTACTAGGTGGTTCGTAGAATTTAGAAGCAAAGTCATAAAAGTCCTTACCAATACAAAGAAAACTATTGTTGCTTGAACTGAAACTTGCATGACATATAACATTTTGAGGGTCAAACACGTTTCTATAAACTGTCAAATCTGCTGGTGGAAGTATAAACCAGAACGGACCGTCAGGTGGTAATGGTTCGTTCTGGTTTAGTAACCGAAGAAATTGTGCCCAAGAACGTTTGTCTACTTGCCAAAATAAAAACTGTGTATCTCTTGGAGGGTTATTTTCAATCCTTTGAAATGAAACTGTGGAGTTCATCTTGTCATATTCTAGTTTCAGATAGTATGTTCCATTTAGTAAAGAATCGTATTTTTCTTGAAATTCCCAGTAGTATTTGTTTATTTGAGTTTGAAAGTCATTTAGAGTCTTCTCAAGACTTTCGTCTGAACGAACTGTAAAGATTCTCATTTCATCAAATTTGTCTAGTAGACCATCAGAACCTCTATACTGACCGTGAAAATATACTGCAAACATAAACGCGTTAGTTCTTTTTGAAAACAAAACTCTTCTAAATCCTATTGCCTTTGCATCTGAAGGACTTTGAAGCCAACGAATTGGAAAGTCAAAGCGGTAGGAGCCGGATGAAATTTCTTCATCTGATATAGTCCTACCGGCATTTGTAAAGATATAGTCTAACGGTTTTGTATCTGCTGCTTTTGTTCTTTGTTTTTCAACCTGAAGCATTTAATATATGTAAAAATATATTGTTTTAAAATGGTATGCCATATAGCTTCTTGAATTTGTTAAGAAATATTTGAACGTATTTTCCATCTGTATCTCTAGCGTTTACATAAGCATAGCCCGCCTTAGTAAAACATACTTGTAATTTTCTATAGTTTACGCCGGTATAAAAGTAGAAAGAGTCTTGTTCTTCGCTATAGTAGTAAAACTCCAACGTATGCTTACCATAGTCTGTAATTTCAATTGCTTCATCTTCTAGTTCGTCGACAAATTCGAATACAATATCTCCAATTTTGCCTATGTTCTTATTGTTTTCAGAACGAGTGACCCAGCGTAAGTTTTCAAGTCTATTGTCGTTTCTTATACGGTTTATATGGTCTACAAGAGGTAGATTGTTAGGGTTCGGTATAAAATGAGTTGCAATGACAACATGTTTAAAATAGTGTTTTCCACCCATCTTCATAATAGCATATCCGTATTTTTGCTCCCATTCGCTTAAAACTCTTTTTGTCTTTTTGTTTCTGACTTCAAATGACTCACAACAGTGAATTTCATATTTCTCATCTAACAAACAAGTTTCCCAACGGTCTTCTCCAACAAACTCGGCGTACATTTCAAATAAAATAAAAAAATATATTTTAAAAAAAATGTTTTTTCTTTACTTTACGTAACCGCCTGCTGCCAAAAGTCTTTGACGCCAACCCATACCAGCTAATGAAGGTTGACTTGGTTTAGTCTGGAGACTAACCTTTGGTTTTGGTTTATCTTCAGTTTTTGGCTCCCCTTCTTCTATCGGTCTTTCGTCACTTTTCGGTTCACCTGACTTTACTTCACTTGCAGGTATGGTTGTGTCGTCAACATCTTCATAAATATCATATGCCATTTGTTTTTGTTTTCCTTTCAACTTTTTGTGTTTGTTGTAAAGTTTAGAATATTTCGACTCTAAGTCAATGAGATGTTCTATAATGAACTGTTGGTCCGTGAAGTATACCTTCCCATCTGTTGTCTCTTTAACTCCTTCAGACTTCAATATTTTATTTGTGAGAGTCTGTTTCTTTTTTGAGATACTAGCCGTTCCATTTCTATGAAAAGTGACTTTGTAGTTAGGGTTTGTATTTCCAGACCTGGCACTTTCTATTATTGAATTTTTCTCTTCATCTGTAAGTTCTTTGACAGGTTTTGACAATGGTTCTGAACTTTTTGTTTGTGGTGTCAAATCTACCGTTTCAACTTCTTCGGTCATTTCATCTCAGTAAAAATTTTAGTTTGTTTTGTTTTCAACTGGTTGTTTAGGTTTTTTAAGTCGGTCTAAAACTTCCTGAGGTATAGGAAGAACTTGACAAACACGTGGTTGTGTAACTGCTGGAAGTCGACAAATCCATCTTGAACCCATTTGTCTCAATGCTGTATTGTTCATTTCATCTCAGTAAAAAAATTTACATTCCCCACGTTTGAGGTGGTTGAGGTTGGTTATTGTTTACCCATTGTTGTGCATGGTTATATCCTCTGTTAAAAATCTTTCACCTTGGTCCATGTAGTGTCCTGCTTGGTTATAGTAGTCATTTGCTTTGTTATAGTAGTTTCCTGCTTCTCTTCCTACATTGTCCATCCATCCTTGAACTTTTCCTCTTGTTTCAGGATTTGGAATAAGATTTGCTGCATCTCGTGCTACATCCCAACCTTTCTGTACAGTTTGTATAATAGGCTGTGCTTTCTCTTTCAGTATACCTAATGTACTCAAAATCTTCCTTCCAACTCCAAATACACCTCTGGCTATTGTTCCACTGCGGGCAAAAATCTGGATGCAACTCCTGCTAATGCGCCAAATAAACCCATTTCTTATAGGGTAAAAATGACGAATCCAAACAAGGACCCCTATGTTTCTAAGGCAACAAAGAAAGCACTCATGATAAAAATCTTTAGTTCAACACCAAATGCTTGGTTTATGGATATCTTGGAAAACATTCCGAGGTATAGAGAAGATGGACCACCATACTGGCTAATATTTGTCGGTCAAAACACAAGATACTGTGAAGCCATACCATTACAGTCCAAAAATATTTTAGATGTGAAAACTGCTTTGACAATATTCGTTGACAAATACCATCCAACAAAACTGACATCTGACTGTGAAAGTTCTTTCAAATCAGACGATATTAAAAACTATCTGCGTTCAAAAAATGTAAACCAATATTTCATTGTCGACCAAAACCATTCTGCTCTTGGTGTCATTGACAGTTGTATAAAAATCTTAAGAGACTTAAACCAACCACAAGGTGGTGAAGCAAATGAAATGTCATATGACGACAAGTATAGACACTTCTCCATGGCAAAGATGAGACAAGTTTTAAATATTTACAATAGCCGTAAACAAAAAGGTTTGGGAAACCACTCCCCCGAAGAAATGAAAAACAACCCCGACTTAGAGAAAGACTATATATTTAATAGTTTAGTCAAAAGAGACAAACAAGAAAGAATGCCAGGCTTCAAACTTAAGAAAGGTGACAAAGTAAAAATAGAAATACCTAAACGCGACCCATATGAAAATACTATTGACTATGACAACAATGGGAACTCGACAGGTACTCGCATTCGTGTTCGTAAAAATAGAAGAAAGTATACAAGAGAATATTATGAAGTTTTAGGCAAACATGGCAAAATGTACAGACTGCAAGCAGAAGATAAAACTACTATTGTCAGACCTCGTTTCAAACTTGTCAAAGTTCAAGGTGGTATACTTTCAAAGACAGTTCCTAACAAATATAAGACAACTCCTGACGAATATGCTAAAGAAGTTGAAAATGACGACTAAGCATTTCTATACCATGCGTAAACTGTCATGTAAGGTGGCATGTAGTCTTTACTTTGTCCCGTTGTTTGCGTATATCCTGAAACGCGATGTGTATGGATTCCTCCTACATCAGTGTTATTCCAGTAACAATTTATAGCAAACTTAACGTCCTCTTTAACATCATATCCTTTACCTTTTGTCATTCCTGACCAATCCCAAAATCTATGACTATGCAAACCTGCTTGAGATGTACTTAAATTTATGTAGTGACTGTGTGCAGGTAAATTTTCACCTGAAATCGTTTTACTTCCACCTGTTTCCTTTGAAGAGTTTGCACAATACAAAAACCTGTCGACTATTTGAGTCCAAGTTCCAAAACCAAGTACTACTTCTGGTCTGGTAGAGTTCATTGACGTATAAATAGAACCTATAGGATATACTGTTTGAAGTATTTCTGTCTTTAATGTTTGAAGCTCTGTTTTGTCTGCTTTCTTGTCTAACATTGCGGGTAGTTCATATGCTTCAAAGTTTCTGGCATGACTTTCAATGTTCCTGCAACTCTTATCTAAATTGTTAAGAGTATCTTTTACGCTTGTACTCGGATTCTCTAAAGGTGCACTTGAACCAAGGTCAAAGTTCAGTATTATGTCGTCTGCTCTAACAGTTGTAAAACTTGTATGTGTATGGTTCTTGTCTGCTTTCTTCTCTAACTCATCGTTAACATAAGTTTTATCTGCTTTAAGGTCTAAACATCCTGAAACCCATCCTGTATCGGCTTTAGTTTTTAAAATCTTCGATGTCCGTTCATGGTACCATTCAACCATTTCTTTAATTTTTTCATCTTTTTCATCCACATATTCCTTATCTGCCTTCTTCACTAACGCACTAGCCATACAACCCCTATCTACTTTCTCCTCTAACTCACTGTTGACATATGTTTTGTCAGCTTTCTTTTCAAGGCTAACGTTTAAGTCTGTTATTTCAGATATAGAATGTGTATGTCCAACGTCACTTTTACTGTTTAAGGTTTTCTTGTAAGTTTGTAATATTTGCAATGGTATGTGTATGAGTCTTTTTAGAATATTCTTTGTCAGCTCTTGTCACTTCACTTGACATTTTATTGTCAACATATGTTTTGTCTGCTAGTTCAGGATGAGTATGTTCTTTCGTTGCATATGTTGCATCTGCTCTGTCATGTTCTTCTTGAACTTTTTCAATGACATACTCTTTGTCAGCTTTGTTGTCAATATCTGCTTTCAAAAGAAGTTCATCTATAGGTTTCTCGTTTAAAGTTCCTTTTGTTGGATTTATACAAACAGTATGGTTCTTACTGTCTTGAAACAGAAACTCGTCTGTCAATGGGTTTAATGTCAGTTTTAAGTTTCCTTCTTTCAATGACTCAGATATCTTAGAATAGTTTGAAAAGTTTGTTGTGTTCTTATTTAGAGCTTGTATAATGAGTTGTCGGTTGTGTTTTATTTCTCTCATAGACGCTGTATCTTTCGACATTTTTATTCTAGATAAAATATGCTTTCAATAGAAAAAGAAAATTCAAGAGTTGCTACAACTAAACCATTAGATGAACTTTTTACGAATGTCGGTCAAAAGTTTGAGACAGAGACCGTAAAGCATGAAGGCTATCGTTTTGACTACCCATTGAGATGGTTAAGAGACCCATCCGTCACAAAAGCTATTGGCTTTCGTAGAATGAAATTCATTTCAGAAGCCATACATTTTCCCATTTACGGTCGCTTTTGAAGTTCGATACTATAACAAAGAAAAAACGTACGTATGAGAAATTTGAACAGGAAAACTTTTTACAAGTGAATTTGCTGTAAAACTTAGAAACAACTCTTCAAGCTTTTCAAGAAAAAATAAACGATATCTATCTCGAATATGCAAAACAGTACAACATTGACGAAGGAGAGTACCATCTCGATATTATATATGACAGGAAAAATGCAACTGTTAAAATCAATAGAATAGAAGACCTTGGAGAAGACGTTTATATTTCTACAAAATATAACAACTTGGCATGTATAGGTTTCTGAGGATGTTAAATCAGCTGCAGCATATCCAGTACACCCAGACTTTTATGAAGTCGAAAACCCTATGGAACATATGAAAATGTTTTCGACTCAGATGCTATTATAGTTCATGCTTCATTTTCTGGTGCACAAAACTCTTTTTTATGCTTGGCAAATGACTTTTACGAAAAACCTACAAAGCTATACGAACCACAAGTGGAAGTATTTCAGACTTTCAAGTATGGTTTACTACAGATGGAAGAAAAGAATAATTCCATTATACCATTGCGTTTTACTTAGAACTTAGTTTCATATACAACTACTATCGAACGGTAAAAATATAATTTTTAATACGGTTGAGGTGTTGGATTTGGTTGCCAACTAGACTGTGTGCAGGTTCAGGCTGTTGTATAACAGGAGCTTGTTCTTCTGGTTCAGGGTCTTTAGTATAATACCAACGAACTGACCTACCCTTTTACCAATATTTTTGACACCGTTCCATACTCCCCTTCCTACGGTTTTTATTCCATTCCATATACCTCTTCCAACATTTCGAAAGAAGTTTCCTATCTTACTGAAGAAACCCATTTTACTATATGTAAAATCTAATGTCCGCCTAGTCTCTTACGTTTTCCTGTTGAGTTCCATAGCATTCTTTAACTGGAGCTCATACATTCTGTTTCTCCTCTGGTAGAAAACATATTTCTGGGTCAACTCCTGTGTTTGCGTCATCTGCATAAAGTTGTTTATATCCACTTCAGGGTTTGTATAAAACTCTTTCCATCTCATATTTGCATACCATGTGGGCAAACCTAACGCAGCGTCATTTGACATGGCAGTTTGCATTGTACATCTGTTGGCACTTGACCATAGTTTGCCATTGCAGTTTGTATTCTAACTTCATTTGGAATATTCTCTGGGTTTGGTTGTCCAGGTTGCTGTGCATTTGCTAAGTTCTGTGCGTCCATTTAATATTAGATAAAAATATCTCTTACGAGTACATATACTGGACATTTGCAGGCATTGGTTCATCTTCATATTCTCTATATCTTTCTGCCACGTCAAATAAATAAATGACACAATGGAAAAAACCTAAAACAAGTAGTCCTATTTCAAACCACATTTACTTACTAGTAAAATTTCTTTGTTATGACACTTTTTCCGGTTTATAGGACCTCTCTCATATTCTATCTTGTCGTATCTAAACTCATAGTCATATGTCCTCTAACCATCTCATGACACTTTCCAAACCACTTTTATCGGATGTAAAGTAAAAGCATGGACAGTTATGTAAAACGTCTAAAGTTTCTAAAGAGTCTCTCAAAGTCCAGTCTGCTTGGTATTGAAAATCGTATGTGTTAAAGAACGGCGGGTCTACTATAAAGAAAACATTTTCCTTGTTTTTATATTTTTCATACAACTCTGTCCAACGACATCTCACAAACTCTATACCCTCAGTATATTTTTCTATGTCCTCTTTGAAAACCTTTGTATAGTTAAGATATAAAACGTTTGACATAAGTGTTTCAATGTCATGAACTCTTATAGAACCACTATATAATAGTCTAGCAGATATACTATCCCAGTCTATATATTCTGCTTTTTTCAAAACCTCTCTGACAGTATTTTTCTTATCTAATGGTATACGTTCCATCTTACCTATAGGTATCTTTTCTTTTAACTCTTTCAATATTTTGTTTGTGTCTGGTATATGTTTGAGACGGTTCATATAGTTGTCGAAGTCATTGCATATAATCTTTGAGTCAGGAAATACAGTATGGCACAAATGGGATATATAGAAACTTCCACCGAACAAATCTACAAATGTTAGACCATTCGGTAGTTTCTTAAGTTCTCTCAATAGAATATCTTTACATCTACTCTTATTTCCAAAGAACGGTAACGGTGGTTTTGTAAAATTCATTTATATATATATAAAAATGTTTTTTTCCTGAAAAGTGACAGAAAAGTGACAAAACATTTACGATGAAGAAGTTTCGACAAAACATTTACGAAGAAATCATGAGTTTTCTACCCTCTTGAATTTTCATGAAATTTACACCAAAAATATATTTTATGTTAGAATGTTAGATCTAACATGTTTTCTAACATGTTTTCTAACATCGTAGAAAACTCTTGAAAATCATGAAATTTACACCAAAAAATAATGTTTATGTTAGAATGTTAGATCTAACCTTCTACCCTAAATTATATTTTTGGGTCCTTTACGCTCATTACGAAGAAGTCTTGACAAAACATATACGATGAAGAAGTTTCGACAAAACATTTACGAAGAAATCATGAGTTTTCTACGATGTTAGAAAACATGTTAGAAAACATGTTAGATCTAACATTCTAACATAAAATATATTTTTGTCTGATTTTACGAAGAAGTCTTGACAAAACATTTACGAAGAAGTCTTGACAAAACATTTACGATGAAGTCTTGACAAAACATTTACGATGAAATTCATGACAAAACATTTACGAAGAAATCATGACAAAAAAGTCAACGGCTGGTCGGCTGGGGTTCGGTCCTCCTCTTGGGTCTTGGGAAAAATTCTTAGGGCTGGAAGCCCTCCGAATAAAAACTTCATTTATACTAAACATCTTCAGGGCTAGAAGGCACGAAGTGCCTGGAAGCCCCACTACCTTTTTTTTTTTTTTTTTTTTTTTTTTTTTTTTTTTTTTTATTTTTAAAATTGGTTTCATTTATCATTAAATAAAAATTAGAATATAAGTGATGAAATATATTTTTTTAATTAATATTAAATCAGAAATGGCGGCAGGATTCTTTAAAAAATTATGGGATGGAATTAAGAAAGCTGCGGGTTGGGTTCATAAAAAGATTATTAAACCTGTAGCAAACTTTTTAGCACCAGTAGCGAAAACGGCAGGAACTATCATAGGTGGAGTATTAGGTACTAAAGCAGGTAATCCAGCGATGGGAGCACAAGCAGGTAACGCAGTTGGTGGAATTGCTGAAGGAATACTTAATAAAATAGGAGGTAGATAGTGGAAAAATAAATTATTTTAAAATTATTTTTATCTTAGTATCGGTTGTAGTCTTTGATAAACTTTTTCTCCTTTATTTAATACTTCTCTTATTGGGGCAGCTTTTGGCGTTATTGATTCAGCAACGTCACTAATTGCTTCTTTATTCTTAAATATCCAATTTGCTCCCTTCTTCAATGTTTCCCAAACTTTACTCGCTCCTCTTTTTACTTTATCCCACAGTTTCTTAAATATACCTGCAGCCATAGTTGATTATTTCATTAAAATTAAAAAATTCATTTTCATCTTTTAATTTTGATTTTTTATTTATTAATAAATGACGACTAACGAGTGTGGTAGAATTTACGAAAAAGTGACAGTAGAAAAAGTGACACTTAACCTTAAATTTCCAAACACTATTTTTTGATTATATTTTGTTATTTATATATTTATATATGTATATATTTATATATGTATATATTTATATATTTATATATTTATATATGTATATATTTATATATGTATATATTTATATATGTATATATTTATATATGTATATATTTATATATGTATATATTTATATATGTATATATTTATATATGTATATATTTATATATGTATATATTTATATATGTATATATTTATATATGTATATATTTATATATGTATATATTTATATATGTATATATTTATATATGTATATATTTATATATGTATATATTTATATATGTATATATTTATATATGTATATATTTATATATGTATATATTTATATATGTATATATTTATATATGTATATATTTATATATGTATATATTTATATATGTATATATTTATATATGTATATATTTATATATGTATATATTTATTAGTAGCTGCTTCATGCTGCATTGAGTATTGTTGAATAATTTGAAGTAGTGGTTTTTGAAATCAGCACCCCTATGAGAGCGCTGGCGACCGAAACACCACTAGTAAGATTGTGTATTAGAAACTGCTTCATGCTGTGTTGAGTAAGCTTCGATGTCTTTGTAGGATAGCTTTCTGAGAGCGAAACAAGATAGTGTTGAAAAAAAAATTTTGAAAATCTGAGAGACTGTGCAAGAGCCAACGACCAAAACGCTACCAGTAAGATACAGCAGTAGTAGCTGCTTCATGCTGCATTGAGTATTGTTGAATAATTTGAAGTAGTGGTTTTTGAAATCAGCACCCCTATGAGAGCGCTGGCGACCGAAACACCACTAGTAAGATTGTGTATTAGAAACTGCTTCATGCTGTGTTGAGTAAGCTTCGATGTCTTTGTAGGATAGCTTTCTGAGAGCGAAACAAGATAGTGTTGAAAAAAAAATTTTGAAAATCTGAGAGACTGTGCAAGAGCCAACGACCAAAACGCTACCAGTAAGATACAGCAGTAGTAGCTGCTTCATGCTGCATTGAGTATTGTTGAATAATTTGAAGTAGTGGTTTTTGAAATCAGCACCCCTATGAGAGCGCTGGCGACCGAAACACCACTAGTAAGATTGTGTATTAGAAACTGCTTCATGCTGTGTTGAGTAAGCTTCGATGTCTTTGTAGGATAGCTTTCTGAGAGCGAAACAAGATAGTGTTGAAAAAAAAATTTTGAAAATCTGAGAGACTGTGCAAGAGCCAACGACCAAAACGCTACCAGTAAGATACAGCAGTAGTAGCTGCTTCATGCTGCATTGAGTATTGTTGAATAATTTGAAGTAGTGGTTTTTGAAATCAGCACCCCTATGAGAGCGCTGGCGACCGAAACACCACTAGTAAGATTGTGTATTAGAAACTGCTTCATGCTGTGTTGAGTAAGCTTCGATATCTTTATCAGACCACCTTTAAATTAACCACTCACATTCTCACTGTGGTCCATCTAAAATTTGTAAGCTTTATGACATAAAATTATATTATATGCAGGATCCCACCTATTACTTAATCTTTTTGGAATAAATGTTTTATAATATTTATCGATTGATTGTAATTTTTTGTATAAAAAAGTTTTTTATTTATATTAAAAATATATTTTGTTAATGATATTATCTTATAATTTGTAAATAAATCTAGTAATAAAATAACTTTAATAGTTGGTGTCACTTTTTCGAAAATTCTGGTTTTTTCGTTGATTATTTCATTAAAATTAAAAAATTCATTTTCATCTTTTAATTTTGATTTTTTATTTATTAATAAATGACGACTAACTATTTGGTGCCAAACACTAAACCAATTAATGGAAATGTATTTCATTCATTCGAAAAGATAAATGAAATATTCGCAAAGAATGATGGTAGAAGATATTATAGAGAACTTGAAAGTTCATGCTATGACTCTGATGCTCCATATTTTGATGATAAACAAACTCATTTAAGAATTACAAATCCGGCTCATGATGTGAATCAATTAGGTGACACATATATTAAACGCAAGGTTAAAGCTACGTTAATTTCAAATAAAGCTTTCACATGTGATGCCGCTTTTAAATGCATGCGTTTATTCGTTGGTTACAAATCATCAAATCAAAGCTTTAAGCAATTAGAAGTAGAAACTGAAAGAGGTGATGCCGGTTATCTTCAGATGGATTGCGCCCGTGAATCTTTCGCATTTGCAACATATAAACCGAAATCAGAAAGGAAAGTTAAAAAGTTTGTTCATTCGTTATATAATAATGTTCAAAAATATGATAACTCAGTATGTGGTAAATATATTGACCCTTCAGAAGTTTTCAAGAAAGCAAATGAAGAAGTTGATGTCACTTTTGATATGATTATTCCGGTAAATGATTTGTTAGCATTTCAGGCGTTCGATGATTATCCTAAATCATTTGGTGATATCATTCTTAAATATTATGTTTTCAGGGATACTCTAGTATTTTGTCAGGTTGACCCATTAAGAGTTGCTGATTTACAAAATTACGTTTATGAAAAGATAACTGATGAAAATTATGAAAAGATTATGAATCATGTTTATAAATATGATCGTAAATTCCAACAAATTGGACTTCCTGCCAAATTAATTACAAGCTTAGCCGCTACAACTGCTGACGCAACAGTTGATGACGTTATTATTTCATGCACAAAGATGGCAATTTTAGAGGATAAATGCATTACACCAGGATACGGTTTAATTGAAGAATAAGTTAAAGCAATACCACGTTTATTCAGTAAGGAAGATCCATTCATGATTCCAGCTCAACATATTGACGTTCGTTCACTAAATGGAGGTTGCATCACTCCTGAAGGTATCAGCTCAGATTTCTCATACGCTCTTCATAATGTTACAGATGTTGTGTTAGCATTTCCGAAGAATGCAATGCAAAGAACAGTTTTAGAAAATCCAATGCTTCGAGGTCTTCAGGTCACTATAGATTCCAGAAACTTCCCCGATCAAGCGATGACAACAGTGGGTGACATATTCTTTACACGTATGCTTCAAGCTTCTGATTTAGATGGAGTGAATGAATGCACGGAAGAATATGAGGACTCATTAACTAGACCATTGAATGCAGATGATGGCACGCCATTAGCTAGAACATGGAAAGACCAAACTTCATTCTTATGCACTATTCCAGTTCAACGTGATGGAGCGGGTATATTCTTTGATGGATTAGAAACTTTCAACTCACAAGTTACAGTACAAGTGAAAGCTTATCCAATCATTCAGGGTGAAAATGATACTTACTGTTCAAAGGTGACAAATCCTCCTCAGGTTTGGTTTACTAGGACTACATATTGGACATGGACACCGGAAGAAGGTTTGAAATATCATCCAACAGGTACACCACCACAGTATAGAAGTTCATATGATGAAATATTGATGAATAGAAATGTTTAAAATTATAAATTTATTTTTGATTAAATGGATTTAAATTCATCCACTCCTTATGAAGAATTAGCGGGAGTATATAATACATACGTAGATGATATGATTAATGAAGCATTAAGTGAAAATAGAAATAATCTCTCAAAGGAAAAATTAATGAAAATTCCATATTCTGAATGTTACTTAAATTCAATCACTGCAGCAATTGGTAAACAAAATAAAGGTAAAACATTAACGATATTAAAACAAATTATCATTATTGCTAACACTTCACCCTATTCACACGTGTTAATTTATATCAACCGTTCAGGTTCACCTTCAGATGATACATTTGAATCTTTAAAGCATTTAATCAAAATTCCAATTATTTATTTATCACAAGAAGAAGCAGAAGATTATTTAAAAAACTTTTTAATGGGGCGGTGCCATGTGAGGTGAAATTTATCATACACCGATTGGACCTTTTGCTTTCCCGAAAACATAGAATTTATATTGGGGGCCAAATATATGTGCATATATCTATACTAATCAAGCCATATTTACTTATATAGTATTGAGGAATAATGTGTTTTATATAAGATATGAATTTCAAAAATTTTGTTTTATTTCATTTTGAATACAATGAGGTATCTATATATATACTCTATATTGTGTTTTTAAACTCATTTTGGTCACATATCCATTTTTTAATCTGCATCTTATTTGAGATTTCAAATTTTTATCGACAATCATATATGATCACATCGGCATTTGGAGATACTTATCTTGTATCTCCAAATATCGATGTGATCATTGTATTTAATTGTATATTGACCAAGAGATTCCGATGCAGAATATTCAAAGTAGATAGTTTTTCCATTCTGTACACATAGGTGCAGGGTCTATCACTGGCACCCTGCACCTATATGTGCAGAATGGGAAAATCTTGCACTTTTACCTTTCGATGCGAATGTGTCAAACACTTTTCCCATTCTGCACATATATATGCAGGGTCTATCACTGGCACCCTGCACCTATATGTGCAGAATGGGAAAAGCTTGCATTTTGTTTTCGATGCGAATGTGTCGGACACAATTCCTGATTTGCTCATATATTTGCAGGGTCTATCACTAGGACCCTGCACCTATATGTGCAAATCAGGAATTGCTTGCACTTTTTCACTTGAATGTGATTCATTGAATTTCAATTCGAGAAAGGAGTTTACAAATGCAGGGTATTGTTCCTTTACCCTGCATTTGTAAACTCCTTTCTCGAATAGCTTGCACTTTTTTCAAAGAATGTTAAACATCGAATTTCAATTCGAGAAAGGAGTTTACAAATGCAGGGTAAAGGACAATACCCTGCATTTGTTAACTCCTTTCTTGTAAAACCTTCCTCCAAAAAAATATAAAGATCACATTCTTCTTAAAACTCTCAAAATCTCATTATTTCAATCTTATAATCATAAATAAACATACTCTTTCTATCTAATATTTCTCTATTCCTTAATTTTCTTATGAAATTTGTTATTTTTTATTTAATTTTTAAAATTTTCAATTTTTTTGGATAATTTTATTCAATTTTATGATAATTTATTCTATTCTCATTATATAATAATATTGTTCATTTTTATTTTTTTAATTTTTCAATGCATACGATAATTTTTAATTCAATTTTTAAACGAATGTTTTGATGGGATGAGCTTACTGAGCATAGGCTCATCCCATCAAAACATTCCCTTAAAAACTCTGGCCTTCATCGAGGCCAGAGTTTACAATTCATCAGCTCAGAGCCAAGTTCCTCGACGGTCGTCCTCATTAGGCCCGATCCGAGAGGAACTTGGCTCTTCATTAAAATCACAAGCTCTGGCCATTGCTAAGGCCAGAGCTTCGCAAACCATCCTCGGGGCCGGTTTCCTCAAAGACCGCCCTGATTCGGGGCGGCCGGAGAGGAAACCAGCCCGAGAGAGTTCCCATACGAAGCTCTGGCCCAAGCAAAGGCCAGAGCCTGCAAATACAATCCTCAGGGCCGAGTTTTGCGATGATCGTCGATCATGTCGACGGTCTCGCAAGAACTCGGCCCTGAAAGACATACAAATACAGGCTCTGGCCCTAGCAAAGGCCAGGGCTTCGCTTACTGTCCTCAGGGCCGGCTTTCTCAAATGCCGTCCTGATCTAGGGCGGCAGGAGAGGAATCCGGCCCTGGGAACATCCAAATACGAAGCTCTGGCCCAAGCAAAGGCCAGAGCCTGCAAAATACTCAATGTTCAACAATTACAAATCTCATGTCACCCAGAAAGCTATGAAGGAAGCCCTTTCTCTAGGTTAGGACTTCCTTCATAGCTTTCTGGTACTGAGTGGAGTGGTTTTGGCTTCCATTGCCGCTCACTCCAGTAAGATCACGAGATTGTACAAAAGCCACGGCAAGTGCATTCCAACACCATAAATACACTTGCCGTGGAATACGGTTGCGAGTGCCTGCTGCTTCAACCGAGATTTGCAGCAGACACTCGCAATGATAACTAAAATTCATCATAAAGCTGGGAAATGGGCCTTTTCTCAAGGTCAAAGCCCATTTCTCAGCTTTATGATATTGAAACGAACATTTTGAGAGGTTATTACTGTTTTTCCCGGAATCATCTTGAGATTCCGGGAAAGTCATAGCAAGTGTAATCTATTAGCATAGGTACACTTGCTATGACACATATATGCCAGCATCTGCTGCTTACACCCAAATAAGTAGCAGATGCTCGGCATCACATCTTGAGATCCTTATTATCTGCGTATTTTTCATTTTAATATATATAAATGTGTGTGTCTAACACAAGTCTATATGCGCCATATAAAATATACACTAATACACACATATTGATCATAATTAATAAGATATCAAACTAGAAAAACTGAGATATTACTATAAACTATATGTATTATTATTATATAGGTACCATACTATAAGGTCATATGAATATTATTGAAATTAGACACACTTTATATAATTTTATAATGTGAATAACTTGGGTCATAATTTTTTTACGTAATTCCTACACGAAATGATCGGCATTACCATAGTCTATCTGCGTGCAAAATACCAAGGAACAAATCAAATACTCACCATATCTTTTTTTAAAAAGGTCCAATCGGTGTATGGTGATTTTCACCTCACATGGCACAACCCCCTTTTTAATGTATAAAGAATTATATAATACAATCAAGAAGCAAGGATTAGAGGATAAAATTATTGATAAACAACGGGATGAATTATTTGAAACACTTTCTATTTCAAATTTTGATAGAGAATTTTTGCATTCACTCATTTTTCTAGATGATGCAGTGAAATCAAAACTAATAACAAAGGAGAAATCATATTTTAATCAGTTATTAACTCAATGTCGACACATTCAGTGTTCATTCTTTATGGCTGTTCAATATTTCAAAGCATTAAGCACAAACATTAAATCAAATCTATCAACCCTTTTCATTTTCAGTGGGTTTAGTCGTCAACAGTTGAACGTTATGCTTTATCAAGTGAATTTACCAATGACCATTAATGAACTTTACACACAATATCAGCAATTGGGTGAACATGGAAAAATAATAGTTGATTTAAATAAAGGAAGTGTTAAATTTGATTAACTTTTTATAATTAATTTTTATTTTTTATTTATAATTAAACATGACAGAAATAGCAAATCTTCTACAGGTTCCATTAAAACAAGGAACAAACAAAAAGGGTGCATATAATAGAACTATGAAAGTTCCTGATGGAATGAAAGAATTAGTTCATATTGTTGCTGGTCTTCAAAAAGATGTTAAACAAATGAGAAACGTTTTAACATTACCAGAAGCTCAAGCATATGCCAAACGTCATGGTCCAAATTGGGAAGCACACGAAGCAGACATTACGGGTCCAAATGGAAAACCTGATGGTATAAATGAAGTTTTCGTTACTGATGGTCAAGGTAATATTAAAGTCATAAATGGTTATAAATTAACTATAACTGATTATCCTAAACGTAAAGCATATAATGAACGTTATCCTATGCAATTTGATGAAAATGGAAAAGCTGTTAAACAATACATTGGAGAAGGTGAAGATGGTCCAATTAATTCATACCGTTATAATCCATATTCTTATTTCAATGAAGAATTAAATGCTATTGAAGAGGGAGCGGATGGATTACCACAATATTCTAACAAGTTTGATGGTCAATATGCAAATATTAGACCTGAAATTTCAGCTAAGAAATTCTTTAAAGTTGCTTTATTCGATCCAGTTTTCGCAAATGTTAAAGATGAACTTAAACAGCAATTCCAACCAATTATAGTAGCAAGAATTGCATCAGGTGCTTTATCTCAAGCATTCAAAGATTTAATTAAGAAACCATTATATCAGCAACGAGGTTTAACTTATGATTTAGTTAAGGAATCAGATAAAAGAAAATTTGAGAAATCAGATGATTATAAGAATGCAATTAATGAATATATTAGGTCTATTAATTACAATGAACCAGCTAAAAATCAACTTCAAGAACAAATACAGGGAATAATAGATTCAAAACTTCCGGCAAAATAAAAGTTTAAATATATTTTTTTATTCGATTATAAATGAGAAGACGTTTCACTAGTCAAAAGAACACTAACGCAAAAGCAGAGATTACGGTGGGTTATAACATAAATGATGATAAATCACGAATTATTCAAAATGTTAAAGTTAATGTTAGCCCTGAATTAACAAGGTCAGCAACTAATCCGAATTTATTAAATCAGATTTCATCTCGTGACTTACCAAAGAATGAGGAGAATGAAGAAAACCATGAGAATGAAGACCCAATCATTTTATCTGAACCTGGTAAAGAACCTGTTGAAATTCCCACTTATCCAACTTACCCCCCGCCTCTTTCATCAAACATCGAGAACCCATATAAAATAGACATTAATTCAGAATTAATGAAAATTTATCGCAATATAATAACTGATAATTATGATTCAATAATAAATTTAATTGATCAATCTGGTTTAATTATTTTGCCTTATGAATCATTAATTCACATTATCGCCATTCTTTGTGACGTTCAAGATTCAGACGTTAAGATTCAATTTTTCATAGATGATGAGGTTTCATGCTGCGGAACAGTTGCAAAAATAAATCCGATAAAGGATATTAGTACAATTAAGATAACAAAGAACGGAACAACAACTGAACTTCATTTAACATATAATGATATTTATAATAAAATAGTTGATGAATATAAAATATCACTAGAAAAATTCTTTGTTAAGGCTATTTAATATTCAAGCATTAACATTATCGAATAATAATCCTTTGAATCATAATCAATAATAATTGACCTTTCACCAGTTTCTATCGTTTGTTTTATTTCTTTTTGTTCCCCACTATCTGGATCGGTCATTGTAATTGTTTTTGTTATAGTATCAGCTTTATCTTTAACTTCAATCTTTTTTCCATCAGGATATTTAAACCAAAATTCCAAAAATTCGATATTGTCAATCTGTTCATATTTTAATCTATCAATTACATTTTTAATACCATCTGAAAATCTTATGAAATGGTCATTATATGGGTTTGATTGAACTAAATTTGAATGAAGTGAAATATAACCTGTTGATGAATATGACACTAACTCATATTTTCTGAAAACACTAAAATTTATAACATGAATGAATTTCTTATTCGTTGAATTTATGAATTCTTGAGGTAATCTTATTCTAGTTTTATTTATCACTGGAAAATAACGCTTTACCATATTTTTAATCGTAATAAAAAATGTCAATTATCAATATTATTTCGAATAATAACTGTGAATTAAATTTAACAGTTAGCGGAATTTATAATGTTACTCTCGTTTCTGTGAGCGGTAAATTTAATCCCATTCTTTTAGACCCTTCAGATTATATATCATTTATTAAAGATGACCATGATGAAAAAACGTATGATATGTATATAAATAATGTGATAGCGAAATGGGATATTAACATGATTTTAAGTTATTTAAATGAATCATTTATCGTATGGTATGAAGAAAATTTTAAATCAAAACCTGATAAACTTTTTGAACTTGATGAAATAAATAACCTTATTAAATTTCCACTGAAAATTAAATTTTGTACTCCTCATCTTCGTTCATAAGTGTTGCAGTTCTTTTGTTCAGTTCATTGAAGATTTGGTAGCGTTCAAGATTTATAGGTAATGTGCAAAGATACTTCCAGAACTGACCGCTTCTCTTCTTATAAAACTTCTTTTCACCATTATCTTTCCAAAAGCTTTCTATAAGTGCTGGGTTTCCTGTTTGCTTAAGAGCTTCCAAAATGGCTTTCTGGTCATTTGTCAGTGTGCTTTCATCTCTATATGGTCTCTTTTTTGGTTTGCCTTTCTTTACATCTGACATCGTTAAGCCTTCATATTCTGTTAAATCATACATCTTTATTTCAGTAAGATTCTTTATGTTTGTCAAGAAGAAGTCATAGTGCATTTCAACAATACCTGCAGCATTTGCTTCTATCTCTGATATAAAGTTCTCCTTCAAGAGCTGATGTAGTAATGTTCCAATATTATTGAGGTTTAACGTAGAACATTCATACTTTCCACCAAGTTTATAACATACCATCCATCTTTGTTGGGAGTTTATTTTAATCTTCTCTAAGAGTCTCATGAAAACCTTACCGAAATGTTTGTGTAAGTAGTCTCTGTTTGGTTCATCTAAAGCTTCGATGTTAAAGTCAATGAGTCTATTGCCTGTCTTAACATTCCTCTTCCTATTCTCTTCATCTTTCTTTAACCATCTCTCACCTTCTTTTGGTTTGTCGTCAATGGGACGAATGACATCGTTAGTTTTGCGAACTTGTTCTATAGCGCTCTTAAACATCTCTCTTCTCTGTTGTTTCAGTGTGTCGTCTCTTCTTCTTGTTTCACCAACGTTTGCATTTGTTATGTCAAACATTTCTCTTCTTACTTCATGAGGTACTGAACGTCTATGATATAAGTCAATAGCAACGTCATTTAAAGGAAATGCTCTTGCATGGACTTCGTCCTCGCCGCGTTGCGGCTTTATGAACTCATGAATTCTATCATAACTTATTGCACCATTATAGTCATTGAGGATGTCAGCGAGTGCTTTTTTGTTTGTTGCGTAATGCTTTGCAACATCTATATTAGCTTCTGTAAGAAGTTGTTTTATTTCCGAGTGTTCTAACTTAGACAACTTCCGATACATCTTTAGTAGGAAATAAAAAAATATTTTTTTGAAAAAATTAGATTAGATTTTTTAAGTTATTTTTCAAAATAATTTAATATTTTTATTTTAATGAAACACATGCAAGATTGCAAGTTCTTTTCATACAATGCTCTCGCTACTGCCATCAAGAATGAGTTCAATAATGCTTCAAATGTTAATGTTATCTTTAACAAGAAGTTTGTGAAAGAATCTAAGTTTGGTCAGTATGTCAGACCATTAGCTATCGTCATTGACCGCAAACGTTATACTTCACAAGAGTTAGCAGTAGTTTTGAAACAAAAGAGTTTCTTCGTGAATGTCAAAGATACTCATTATACTGTCATAAAGAACTCTAACATTGACTTCTTCAGTATTGCTTTAAATCTTTCCGAACAGAAAGAATATAAGAAGGGTGAAACAAATGTGAAATATTATCCTTCATCTCTGAAGACAATAACGAACAAAGATGTTATACAGAAATTCTTACCAAAGGTTGAAGAAGCTTCTATTGACATTGACGAAGGAAGTGAAATGGTTGAAGAAATAGACCCTGAAGCTATTTAAGCAAAAATATATTTTGGTTAGTCTTCATATGGATATTTTACAACAATTCCCCAATGTATAAACTTTTCATACGCTTTTTCATAAGCTTTATATACCTTCAGAAATTTTGCATAATCTTTAGAAGCATTTAGATATTGTTTAAATGCTTTGTATGTCTTCAGAAATTTTGCATAATCTTTTACATGTTGTTCGTTCTCTTCTTCTGTCATGAGTTCCGAATATTCTAAATTCATGTTCTTTCATATGAGATAAAATTTTATAAAAAAAAATAAAATTAGCTTAGATTTTTTTATTCTTCCTCTTTGAAGTTATCGAAATATTCTGTTATTTTTTCCTTCAGTAATGTTAAGTCTTCTTTGAATGTAAGTATTGTGCAACCTTTGATGTCATAGTGTGTTTGAGGAAGAGTATTTTTGACAATTTTCCTTTATTTGCTCATTCGGTGTCATTGAAATCGGTAAGTTTTCACGATAGAACCAGTTTCTGTCAGATTTATATATTTTAGCTAAGTCATAAAAGCTCTTGTTGTTTCTTCTGACTAAATGCAACATAACCATATCTTTATCTTCTTCTTTCTCCAACTCTTCAGTATATATCATATACTTATAACTCTTTTCCTTTCCTTTTGGTACTGAACGCGGTATTCTTTTCTGTATGCTTTTGTCTTTGGATTCAATGACTTCATCTTTTGCATGAAGTTTCTTTTCCATCTCTCCACGTTCTGCTTTATATAGTTCATCTAACATCATGAAAATATAACAAGCATAACGAGGTGAAGTCCACATTGCTACAGCATTTACTAAAAGTCTATGAACATAATAACCTTTCAAACCAAGAGCCAAATTCTTGCGATTTTCATACGGAATCTCTTCCCCCGGTTTTCCGAGGGAAGCAATCATATGAGGAAATTCTTCTAAAAGTTCTTTTGTCTGTTGGTTTTCAAACCAATGATATGCTTGCTTTGTAGAACGAAGAGCATTCATTATACTTTGCATTTGGTACATGTCATCTTTGACTGAACGAATGAGACGTAACTGTTTGTTATACTGTATGTACTCGTATTCTTCATTTATAGCTTCATGGACTATAACTGTTGTTGTGTTCTCTGATGTTGACATTACTGTCTTTACATACAAAATAAAAAAAAAATAAATAAAAATAAAATTAGCGTTATTTTTTCTGAGATAAACACTATTTCTTCACAACATTAAATTTTATCCTGTATGAAATGACTTTAAAAAGATTATTGACTGACTTCGAATACTATCTCATTGACGCACTGACAAGTTGAAAGTTTTTTCACCTCTTTTTTCACAAGCGTTTTACATGAATTGTACGATGTATATTTGAAATCCTAAACAATTTCGTAGCTTCTATTTCTTCTTTTAGTACATCGAATGTTTTAATCATGCCGAAAGTCTCTTTATATTTCTTCTTGACGTCAGACAGAAGGAAATCTTCTGCTGTTGGATAGTTTTTATTAAGAAATGTCAATATATCCATTTTATCTTCTGCTGGCTTTTCTGCTTCTTTCTTTAAGTCTGCATAGTCGTTTCGCATTCTTTCTATCTCTTTGACTGAGTAGTTATATTTTCTTATTGCTGCCTTACATTTTGAACATTGCGGCATCGTTTTTGCGTTATACATTGAAACATTACCAGCTAAAACAACTAAAGCGTCAATTGCTCTCTTCATCTCAAACATAGCGGGTCTTATTTGTTCGTTCCATACTTTGCCTCTTCTATCTTTATCTCTTATTTCCCAAACACATTTTGCAACTAATGAAACAAAGTTATCGTATGTCTTAAATTCTTCGGATTTGTAAAGGTCAGAAATATTTTTATAAACCATGTCGCAATCTTTGTCCATAACTTTATGGTTGCAATGAAAACCAAGGAATTCATAATTTACTTTACGTATGAATTTCTTAATTTCTACTGAGTCAGTTGCTTTGACTTCAATTTCGTCGAATTCAGGAATAGTTAGTTTTTGCTGCTGAATTTCAGGTAGTTTAGGCAAATGGTCGATGAGGTCCTCCATTTCATAAAGATACTGTTCATTTGTTTCATCTTTCGCACTACAGTCTAAATTACTTGTTAAAAGTTCTTGCTTTATCTTCTGGATTTCTGTTTCAAAAGTATATGAAGAAGGAATAAAGCTTTTCATCTCTATCAACATTGACGTAGGATTCATGACTAACGAGTTTGGTGCTGTAGTTGTGGACAGAGTCCCGCCGTTCGCAGCTTGAATTGTTGTTGTGCCGATTGTTGAAATCATATCTTTTATACAAAATAAAAAAATAAATAAAAATAAAACTAACTTTATTTTTTCTATCTTAAGGAAATTCATGAAAATTCACGAGGGTGAAAAAACAGGTGAAAAAAGAGGTGAAATCTCACCTCTTCACCTAAACATTATTTTTGTCTGATTTACATCTAATGAAAAAGTTTAGAAGAATTTTCTTATTCTTTCTGGCATATTTTTGTCTTTCCAGTACTCCCGCTCTAATGGTCCCAGATGTGTTGGCTTCGACTCTCTCAAGTTCTTAGATGGTATAACATCTTCAACGCCTCCTTCATATCTTACTTTATAAGTGTCATCGTTTATGTTATAGCCAAGTATTTCAATAACCACTCCTCGCTTTGCTTCGTCAATGGTTTCAGCAAGTTTGCCATTACTACTTTCAACTAATTTATGACGAGGATAAAACGCAATAGAGTCGTCGGCAGCTTTTATAAGATATCCATTACCTTGCGTAGAGTCTACGATATAATAGTTTCTACTTAACCTTAAACGTTTCTTTGTCAACGGTTTGTCGTCAAGAACTACACGAACTTTTGTACCAGGAATGAGGGTAAATTGTGTTGAATTTCTGATATTTTGTGTTTGACTTCGTTTCTTTTGTATATACTTTTCTTCTTGTTGTTGTGTCATTGAATTTGGTGTATGTCCTGTTGTAGAATGTGTTGAGGAATTATATACTTCGAGAAAATGTTTCATTGTTTCTTCGGTAAAGTCTCGCTCTTGGTTTAAATCTCTGAGCGTTCTTATGAAGCGGTTTATGATGCCGAGTATGTTATGGTTATGGTCTTCAGTAGTGTAGTGAGTTATGTTATGCTTAATGAGAAAATCTGTGATTTCATTGCTGAGGTATGCACTGTCTTGGTCTGATGTTAAAGTACTTGGGCTATGTTCTGCTACAAACTTTTGTAAAACTCTTAACACTTCACGAGTTCCTTTATTTTTCATTGGATATGCATATGCTTTGCGAGTGTTAACATTAATGAAGATGAGGAATGGTTTATGTCTCCTTTTCTGCTTTGAATGAGAGTGTCAAATTGGTATGCGTCAGGAGTGTTGGAGTAAATTGGTAAAAAGTAGTCGTAAGGGTTTATTTTTGTTTGATGTACAACATTTTTGTCAAAGAACCTTTTCACTTCAGCTCTGTTAGTAAATCCCCAACTCTTTGCAGCTTCATTGAACTTCTTAAATGACTCCATGGATGTTGTTCGAATACTTCTTTCAAGCTCATTTATGTAAAGTTAAAGATTTTATTCAAGACGGTAAGCCTTGACCCAAAGGGTCTAGGCTCAAGCGCGTTCATTGAACGCGGTACCATGCATAAACCGTCATAAATGGTGGCATATAATCTTCACCGAGCCTGTTGGATTTGTTGTGAAAGTGTGTGAATGATTTCCTCCTGGTTCAGTTGGTTGAAAAGTCTTTTTTGCTGAATTGTTATAAGATGGAGATAAAACATCATGACCGGCTTCATAATCTGAGTTGTATAATGGGTGGTCTCTTAATGAGTGGCTATGGTCGCCAGAAAAGTTTGTAGTTCCTGTATGAGTGTGCGCAGGTAAGTTTGCTTCTTTAATTTTCTTTGAGCCTCCTGTTTGCTTTGAAGAGTTAGCACAGTATAAGAATTTGTCTACAATCTGCTGCCACGTACCAAAACCTAAAACACTTGCTGGATTTGTTGAGTTCATTGCCGTATAAATAGAGCCTATAGGATATAATGTTTGAAGTATTTCAGTCTTTAATGTTTGAAGCTCTGTTTTGTCTGCTTTCTTATCATATAAATCTTGAGCAGTGAATTTAACATTATTTTCATCATCCATGACATAAACATTTTTACAGCTAATTTCTTTCTTCGTTGTTATGTTTTCATTCGATGTTAAACCTTGTGGAAAGTTAGGAGGTTTATAATATAATCATCCCCACCAGTTCCGCCAACCGTTCCTTCAATACTTTCTATAGCAACAGTTGAGAAGGAGTTATGTGTATGTTCTTTATCTGCTTTTATCTAACATTGCTGGTAGTTTATATGTTTCAAAGTTTCTGACATGACCTTCAATGTTCATACATTTACTATTTAAGGAGTTTAGTGTATCTTTTACGCTGTACTTGGATTCTCTAAAGGTGCACTTGAACCAAGGGTATAGTTCAATATTATGTCGTCTGCTCTAACAGTAGTGAAGGATTCATGTGTATGGTTCTTGTCAGCTTTACTATTTAATGTAGCTTGAAGTTCATTTATATCGGAGATATTGTGTTTATGAGATTTCAAAACTTTGTTCGTTGCGTCAAGTTCATCTTTGTCAGCTTTACTTTTAATAGCATCTTCAAAAGTTATTTTTGCCTTAACTCTCAATGTAAATCTTGGTTCAACTAATACACCGTTAACAAAAAGTATGAAGCATAAATTTCATTGTTATAACCAAATGCTTCTGGTGCTTTACCTGTGTCATACTGTACAGTACAACGTATGTCATAACCTTTAGCACGAATGAATTTATATCTTCTTTCATTAACATCTTCAGTGCTTATTTGTTCATCCTGTGTTAAATATCCATGGTAGTCCGTTATAATCTGTTCGTCTGAACTTATATAATGAACATGGTTTTATCTGCTTTTTCGGCTAATTTCTCTTCTATCTCATTTATTTCAAGTTCATGCCTACCACCACCTCCCGAAGAAGTATTTTTCTTCAGCTCTTGAAGAACGTCCACTTCGCCATCTTTGGTGTCAATAATGAGACTTTGAGTTAAAACCTTTTCTGTCTTAATGGATGTTTGTAAAACTTCTTCTTCACCGTGTTCGGGTCATGGTCGTCATCATATCTTGTGAAATCAGAGATGTTGTCATACATTAAGCATATCTGTCTCAAAAGTTCTGCTATTTGAAACTGGAACGAAAGATATACAGAACTTTCATCATCTCCTAAAGTCAAGTCTGCTTTCTTAAGTATTTCTTGAATGTATGCAATGAGAACAGAGTACCTTGGAAAATATTCGAACAATATTTCATTAGCTGTTGGTTTTGGTGGTTCTTCTGGAGTTTCTGTTGTTTCAGTTCCTTCTGTAGGTTCTGTTGGAGTTTCTGCATCTCTTGACTTCAATGCTCTTGCTCTCAAAGACCTAAATGTTAGAGCACCAGGTTTTACAAAGGACTTTATAAATGCTTTAATAGTTCCTGGTAAGTTATTGTTAGCATTAAGTAAGTTCCTTATGCTTCCATCATGTACGTCCATAGCACTATGTAAAAAATCTATACTTTTCTTGTAGTCAGCAATAGACTGACTGTGATTTTTTAAAGATTTGTCAATACCTTTAAGCCAATCTTCATGCATGTCTGATACTGAGCCAAGAATATCATTTGCTTCCTTTAGTGTATTTTGTGCTTCTCGTAAAGTATCCAATCCCGTACGTGCATTGTTTGCTATACGTCTTACAGTATCTATTTGACTCCTTGTTTCTTGCATCCAACCAGATAAAGTTTTAATAGTATCCGAACCATTTGAAATGAAGTTCAAAGCATTTTTAACGTCATCTAAAACTTCTTCACCAAGTACTGCCCATATCTTTCCGATTTGGTATTGAAGAACTCCATATGAAGCAGCTGTTAAACCAGTATTTATAAGGTTCCATATCCATGATTTAGCAGTTTTTCCATCCTTTCCATCTTCACCATCCAAACCGTTTTCGCCTTGAGGTCCTTGTATTCCTTGTATTCCTTGTGGTCCTTGAGGTCCGGTGTCACCCTTCTCTCCTTTCAGTTCATCTTTATGTTCGTTATAATATTCTAATGTCATAAGGTGTACATCATTACTGCTACCAGCAACGCCGAGAATTTGTTTCTCATTCATGACTAAATTCTTTAGGCATTTAATGTTGTCGTCAAATCGAAAGCTCTTTAACAATTCAATGAGAACATTTAATACTTTCACTAATGAGGCATCTACTGTAAAATTTATATATTGCACCGTTCCATCATTTATGATGGGAACCTTGCTTGTTGTAATGAATGGGTCATAAGTGTTAAAAGTATCGAAATCAATGACTTTTTTAGTTTTTCCATCGTCAATGACTAAATCATTGCCTTCAATGGTTAAAGTTGAGTTTTCGTTTACTAGTTCATGTGCTCTTCTTGCTTCATTTGTTTCATACGCATATGCAGCAATAGTCATATTTTAATGAGAATAAAATGTTGTTCTATTTGCAAAGTACAGACCCAAACGAATACGGGACAGTAAAGCTACAAACAAACTTAGGTCTTCAGAATGAAGCGCTTGCTTTCAGAGTTGTTGACTTCAATACTATCGCAACTTTTGTCATAACAGATGAAACAGATTTCATAGAGATTGAAATAGATGACAAAAGAAGTGTTATAACATTTCCTAACAGAGCTGGGTATAGAATAGATAAAATTGCTGGAGTCATAGATACTCTCATAAATGAAGAAACTATTGACAACATAGATGTCGAACTCTCTTCTGAGGGAACATTGAAGTTCAGCAGCGAGAAAGAGTTTAAGATACCAAGAATGAGTCATATAGTACAACTTCTTTTGGGTGCATACCATATGACATTTCCTTTGAAAAGTGTTGACAAAACAATTGAGATGAAATCTGTTCCATACGTATGTTATGGTAATTGTTTATACATTGAGTCTAAAATAGCTAATGTCACAGGCATTTCAGGAGTTAATAGTAAAGGTTCAGTAGAATATAAATCCTTCTGTTATGCAGTCAATTCAATGTTCATTCCAAACGTTCCTGTCATAGCAACTCATTTAGGTAAATGGGTTCGCATTAGTCCTCATAATTTGAAAGACATGCAATTCAGACTTGTTGACTTTCAAGGAGAGCCTGTAGAACTGAAGGCACCAGTGCGAATGACTGTTGAAGTTGACTTTTTAGAAAATATTAAATGCAACAGCTTACAAGAGAACTCAGAGCTAAAAATATAAAGTATGAATGTTATGTATTAGGTCATGAACTTTGGTTGTTGCTGTTTGATGAAACAAATGAGTTAGTTATGTCAGTCAAGAGAACAGAAAAATATTGTGTTAGTGAAAACTGCACCAAGTCAATAAGATTAGGTTTGCATTATGAAGATGAGTTCGATACTGTTGAAGAAGTTTTGGATAGATATTACAAATTGCTAACTTGAAATTTTTTGACTGACGGCGCAAAGCGCCAAGACCGAAGGTCCTGACTGCTTTAATTTACTAAAACATATTTCAAACAAAGCTTATAGTCAGTAGATAGTTTTGTATACTCGTTCGAATATTTATACTTAAACTCAACTCCTGTAGTTCCTGGTGTTTCAATGATGCGGATGTTACCTATTTTCATGAATAGTGGAGTTTGACCACAGCATTCGATTTCAGGGTCGAGATAGTCAATGACACATTGTTTCCCTGTTATTCGTGAGATAACATTTTCAAGGTCCTCCCTTGTTAGAATTATTTGGTTCTTGCTTATAAGATTTGTCAAAAGCTTCTTATCGTCTTTGAGTAAGATAGTTTGGTATAACTGAAGAAGGTAATGGTCTACGTTATCTGAAGGATTTGTTTGA